TAGAGATGTACCGCGATAGTGGATTAACTGGATTGATTGAATAAAAAAGGGATCAAGGTAAAAGGAATAAATTCGAACCAGTTCCTCAGTTATACTCGTCTTTTGGACTTATTCCTTGATGAGCGCGCGTGCTTTTCAATATCTTTGATAACGTTATTCTTTAAACTTCATCGAGTTCGTTACAACTCGAGAGAACCAGTAAATAAAAAAGAAATAACATCCGAAGAATTCCTGTCTAATCAACTAAGCGTCTCTTTAAACGATACGAAAGTGATAATACTTATTGTTAGAAACCACTAACGATTCACGCGTGTCTATGCTGAATTCTACAGATCCAAAAACGGCGAAGTTATAGCTTCCTAAGAACACAAAGTGAAAGGTTGTCTTACCATATACTTTGCTACTTGTCCACTGATTAACATTTTCAATATGATAACTAGTGATGGTACTAAGTACAACATGTATTTTAATCTGTTGAATATAATATATATATATTTCCATCTTACTCGATTAGATTCCCCATAAGTATATCAAATTCTTTATCCGTTTACAAATATTGCATACATTGTTTACAAACCTTCCAATAAATTCGCTCGTACACAAGCTCAAAAACATTTGTCTACTAGTTCAAAAAACAACGAACACGGAAATGAGTGAAACAAACAGTATGATAATAAAAGTTCTCTAGAAGACACGGTATCCGGCGGAATAAAGGTTCGATCGAGGAAAGATCGGCGCTCAACCCCCACCCCAAGTTTTTCGATATTCCGCCGGTTACCTCGGGGGAATAATACGGGCACGTATCCGCGGAAAGACTAACGACCACCCCGGTCACGCAGCACGTCGCCGCATAATTCAGATATTTTATACAGTGGTTTTACAGTGCGCTGTATATCAGATTCCAGCGTGCGACGATGAATGTAACGAACAGCGATACAAGAGGAACGAAGTTGAGTTTTATGCGGGACTCGACGTCCCTGGCGACGGAAGTTGAAGAACTCCCGGCAAGTTTTTGTCGAATTGGCCGAAGCATAACGAGTGCAAAGTGTTCCCCGAAGCACGGACGCGGACAGCTTTGTTGTGCCGTCGGAAAAACGTAAGGGGGCGGAGGGAGGGGAGACGAAAGATTGAATACGAGACGACGAACAGTGGTCTAGATCGTCGAATTAGCAGGAGAACGTTCTAAAACCATTTTTCTATCGATCACAATACTATATTCTATATATTGAGACGTTTTTAGATTGAATGTGAGTAAAATCAAGTCGATAGGATTAAGTAGTTTCATAGTAGGATTATTATATAGCAGGATTAAATATATTACATCGTAACTTGCTAATATACTCGTATACGTCATTCAGTATCACTTTCGTCATGTTGACTAATTTATTACTAGAAATTGCTGTGCTATTACACGTTAACAGAATTTTAATTATCCCATTTACACGAGGTAATGTCGTCGAAAGAAGCCATCTGACACGGAACTGGAAAGAATTATTTCAGTTACAAATATCAACCGTCCTCTGTAACGTTATCATTCTAATTTCCTAAATATCGAAATAGTTACATTTAACTCTGTAATAGTAAATGATTATTTTATCATCAATCGTTAATGACCAACGTGGCCTTTAACACCTTAAGTAGCCTGAATGGTACGCGAAACGTTCACCGTTATACTCTTTTCCCCTCAATTTTAGACGCATTTTCCTCCTAATGATAAGCTGTAGACCACTGTGCACCAACCCTCTTTTGTCGCGCGGTTGCGTTGAACGACGATAAATTTCCATCCGGTCGAATATTCTGTGGGACGTGCGGAAACTGGAGAAAGATTCACGTGGGCAACAACCGTAGGTATAACCCTGCGCGCAACCAGCGCCAGCCTATCAGAAGTCCATTAAGTCCTTTCGCTATGTGGGCACACGCACGTGGGACACGCGAACACCGCCGACGCACCCACGCGTCGCGTTTCGCGAATTCTCGAATCAAATTGCGATACGCGCCTATGGAAGGTACACAAGGATCTTATACACCCATTGGGTGATCCTTTAACGGAGGCGAGACGCGTCCTGTCCTAGCCCCGTACATAGCTCGCGGCCCTGGTAAATACCGTGTCCCGAGATTTTTTCTACGGTAGATAAGTCCTAGCAGAACGATACTGGAAAGGTATTACTTCTATGGTGGTCAAAATGTAGCGAGATTAAGCGAATAGTCATTTGGAGAATGTTCTTTCAACTGTAAAAGTTTTGGGGTTGCGTAGTGTGAATGTGTTAGAGTGCTGCGGCTCTAGAGTATTTGACGAAAGATGCATAGAGTGTAAATTTACTACTGAAAGAAATTTCTTTTGTAATTGTTAATTAATGAAGATTTACTAATATCATCTGTAGAGAGATTCTTAATTGTTAATAGGTCATTTAATTGATTTGTGAACTAAAATTATATTATGTTATTGAATTTATCGCTACTATCTTATTGAAAAGTAGATATGCTAAGCATCTCCTATTATCTTTAAATATTTAATAACTATAAATAAAATAAACATAAAAGAATATAATTCGTGTATGTTTATAACTGTTAACAAACTTCTTATTAAATACGATCAAATTTTATAAGAACACGATATAAAACTATGTGTTCGATAATGGTTCTGCAGGAAGTGTATATATAAATAATCTCGCACATCGTTTGCGTTCTTATACTATATTTAATATAAATCTAGCGAAGAGTTAAATAATCTTAGAAGTCTTTCAGAAAGATTTCAAAAAAACATAGAATTAAAAGAAAATTCGATTCGGTAACGATTCATAGTAATGTTTTAATCAAGACGTACCTCTCTGTTTGAAGAGAAAGATTTCTTTCACATTGACATCCGCGTGAACGCGCAGTCGGATCATCCAGCGAATAGTTTGTCATCGCGACACACGAATTCCTACCCCGATCATTTTTTTTTTCCTCTTTCGTTTGAGCGAGTTGACAGTCACGTACTTTCCAATCGAGTATAATCTCGCGTAGGTGGCGCGCGATAAAGAAATTTGCTGCTCGCTGGCCGCGGACTCGACGATCATATCGGTAAAACCAACAGTGGCAGCGAGCACGGCGCAACGAGGAAGCTATTGACGATCGACAGGCCCGACGTGATCGAGGCGCAGCTTCCGGTATTACATTGCGACTATCGGGAACGAGATATCGGAGGAGGCGCGTATCGATAGTATGCACCGGGAGAAATACGAGACTGCAGAGGTGCTCGGTCTCGAGCAAAGTGTACCAACGTCGACGACGAACCTGATATCAGTGCGATGCAGAATGTCGTCGGAACGGTTTGAACAAGTACTAAGACCTTGCTTCAAAGACTTTTGATAAAGCTGCAATATCTGCAGCTTTACTGCGCTCACAAGAGGAACAAAATATTGCATTTTATATACTAGACGAAGCAATTTGAAGAAATGTGTGAAGATTCTTATAACAATTTGATAGTACATGTTTTGTATCAAATGACTGGTCTTTGTTAATAATTTATGGATTATTGGGTAAGATAAAGTTTACGAAAAGTGGAGTTAAACAGAAGTTGATTAACTCTATTAACAGTTTGAATACGATACCAGTGAAATAGAAACGTCGTTGAATTTAATTTTGATTTATATTTTACTTTTTATGTATGTATTTTGTAATGCATTTAAATCATTTAAAAGGTGTTATTTTATATTGTATATTTCAATATTTCGTTTGAAAGTTTCAATAAATGTGGTATTTTTGAATTCGATGAATCTAGATTTTAATATATAATAAAATAAGGGATATGAAATGGATATAGAATATAATGAAGGTAGAGATCTCCTGTTTTGGTTACTTACAGCGTCAGTCTCTAAACAATAGAGCAACATGGTTGTGAGGCACGAAGGGCTCAAAACGTTTTAATGATATACAAGAACGAGAGAACCGCGGGGGCGTACGGATCTCCGGTAAATTGATCTTTCTAACGACTAATCTGAGGAACAGTACCGTCGTTTCCCGCAGAAGGATCGGCGACCTTCTAAGGAAGCTTGCGCTCGGCCGTGGCATTTGAAGCATCTCCGAATGGAACACGACTTGCATTTCCATTACCAGAGTTACCTTGAACTTGATTCGATCGTTCTTTCATGTCGGGCGAGCGGCTGAATCTCTCGGCCAGATCGATACATTAAACCTGTTGCATTCATTGATTTCTTTGGGTGACAGAGCTCCCAACAGTCTGCTTTCAACCTTGCCAAGGCCCTCGAATTCATTACACCATCAAAAAATGACATCATAAATTTCAATTTCAATCGCCCTGTCATGAGAAATAAGCAGCCAGAAAAATGTGGAACGGTGTGTTTGATATGTACGTTGGCATAAATATGAAGTAGTAGTAAACAAAATGTCAATATTTATATTTTATATGAAAGAGCAGTCTTTGCAAATAGATATAGTGCACAGAAAATCTTTATGTTTAGTAAGATTTTATCACGTACAAATTGGCAAATAGATTATAATATGATCAATAACAATAATTAGTTGTCGTTAATTTCTAGGAAAAAATAAAGTTGAAAATTTAAATGCATGTTTTCATAATTGTGAAAATATATGGGTTTATATGAAAATATATGCTTAGTGGAAAACTGTAGAATTACATATGTGGTAATTAAAGGATACACGAAACATTATTATTTAATCGAATTACGTTTAATTCCATGTAGTACAAGAATAGCATTACATCATCCAGTACTTTCATATCCATTCCAGTAATTACTGTTAATATGTAATTACAATTAATATTCCTATATTAATATTAAGGTATAAGAAATATGTAAATGTTCATTTCTCAAGATATTCTTCCAAGTTGATGAGGCGATCATTAAAAAATTTTATTGAGTGCCAAAGGTTAAGATACTTTTCATGTAATGGACATTACAACAGTTTGTGTCGCGTTATTTTCTTCCTGAAAGTACGCAGCGTTTAACATTCCAGGCTGCTCGGGCATCCTTCCGTGCGGTTGATTTAAATACGCGTCCGCGATGGATGCGCTCACGGGTCGGATATTAAAACTGCAACAAATTAGCTGTTGGTATGCGATACGACGTCGTTTCGCCGCTCTCTTCCTTGTTATTATTCTGTTTTTTAATCGTCGATCGTTACCACGTTTTCGCAGGACCATTTGGATCAGTAATATTCTTCTGATCGTATATTTAAACAGAACACAACTAACTGTATATTCTAATTAACATCGATGCAGATAAATGTATTATTTCAGTGGATGTTGAATTATTTTTAAATGACATGTCGTGTGTAATATAAGATTGAGTCATGACATCAATCTTCCATTCTTTTTTCAATAACTTTTTGTAATAGAACTTACAATAAACTCTACTTTATTTCTCCAGTG